GAAATAGATTTTTACCATGGTTGATATTTTCAGGTGTACGAGCGCTTGCTGAGACAACTGCCAGGAACAAGGGAAATGTTTACGACAAGGACGTTCCTTTCAGCAATGTCACGAAGCGAAACTGCTACTCCAAGGGACCACGCTAAGGTATCTCAAATTTCCTGGATACAGCACTTATAAAACAGATCTAAAATTGCAGCTACATAGAGGAGTCTTTGCCTACGATGTTCACTCTTTTTCAGTTGATGTGAAATTAAAATTGTTCTTCTGAGGAAAAAAATGTTTTAATCGTCAAGTTTTGTGCATAAGCAAATCTTAAGCAATTAGTTTAACATTTTATAGTACAAATTTTCGCATGCAAATTTGAGCTATAACCGTCGTACTGGCAGGATCCAGTTGCATTAGGTTATATACAGCTGAATGAGTCGAAATGTCCTTGCCTTAATTGAACTAGTATTGCATACACACATTAATTTATTCACGTAACTATCCATTTATGGAAAATTGAATAGGGAAATACCCAGTTTACTTTTACTTATTTAATTAGCTCAGCTACGTTTTAGGAGACAGTGAAACTTATCGATCATGTGATTAAGAATCTGGAAGTGAGCGACAAGAAGAGGAGCGACACGGGCAGCGACTACGATCCCATCCTTCTCGGTAATCATACTTTTCAAAGAACTCTCGAAGCATGCAATCTCCCCAATCGAGGAAGCTCACACCGATGTAGTGATGCACTTCAGTACCATTGTCTAGCGTCGTTCTTTTACAGTATGTGTCCGCGGGATTTTGCGTTACGAAAGTAAGCCTGGCATAACTGTGCTCGGTGAATAAGAGCATTCCAGCAATATCACTAACATGAAATACTCACACTATCTGCCCGAACAGTCTTGATATTCTTGGTCCTCGTACTTCTTTAAATAAAATTTTTCAAATTTTAGGCAAAGTGCACGGCAAGCTTCGCCCATATGGGCTTACAGGGAATCACTGGGAGAAGCTTGGTGAAATTATTGTAGACGTAGTGCTAGCGCAAGAGGCTGTCAGGGATCTGCCCGGCGCTGGCCAGGCTTGGGTTGTCCTCACTGCTTGTCTCGTTGATCAGGTAAACCAATTTGCTTATTGAATAATTATTGCAAACTTGCGTTGTTGTCTTCCCAAATGAATAGTGATGGGTTAAAGCGAGACTCTCTTGTAAACTTGGATAGGTTGCGACCAGAAAGTGGGAAATTCTCTAAATTTCGAAGGTTCTCCCATAAATTCCGCAGCTGTTATTGTGCAGTCTCGCATGCCAGGCCTTTTTATCAACATCATTAACATGAGATACGCATACTGATGCGGTCTTTGCTATTCTTGATTTATTTGAAGTATGCTGTAAAGTGATGTATTTTTATCGTTATAGCTTCGAGCCGGTTTCGACGAAAGCAAAAGCGGTCTATCTTCATTGTCCGGAGCATTCGCCCAAAAAGTCATCTGCAATGCTGCTGCTGAACTAGACACTCCGCCTTCCACAGACGATATCATAACACATACTTCACCTCTCAACGATGCTACACCCCTCAATGTATAATATTAATTATTTAAAAAATTTTTAACGTTAGCTCCAGCAGCAGGGTGAAAAGCATCACAATAA